GTGGGGATTTTAAGACCGCGGAGTCTACACATGTGCAGCCTCGAAATTTCTCCAAACGAAGTACGCCGGGCTTGGTAGAATTACAAGTATGCTGGACATTGGAACAGTACTTCGGTGGCACTCGATGACGTAGTATGCTTGAAATAGTGGCTCTGGAGCAGCTTTACTCGACATTGAGAAACACCCAGTATATCACAAGTCTGGCTCTTAAGAATTGTTCGAAATGCAATATTTGTGTTCCTAATTTATCACTGACTGACACAACAAATATATTGTTACACCTATCTTGATATGACTTTCCTTCTGCTGTCAGCAATGGTACTTTTAGTCTAACTTGCTCTAGAACTCATTTTACACAGCAGCACCAATTTCATGAGCACAAACAGCAGTGAGACACAGAAATAATGTAATAGAAATGTGATTAACTGCGCAAACTCAAGGACACATATTTCAGCCCTTGAATCTGAGACTGTTGCCTGGATATTGTGATGTAAAACCACGACAGCATTGACTGCTTATCAGATAAGATCCAGTCTGGCGGACGCCTGCCAACGCAGATGCTTGAACTGCAGGGCTCGGCCTCCTCAAGGACAGGATCTCCGCCACAAGCAGCTAGCACAAATCTTTCCTGCCAAGGCGTGGCTGTTTGATTTCATGTGTGTACATTGATTATGACTTTTAGGAACAGCAAATGGTTTTGTTTGTGGTATTTAACAACTGGGAGGTAAGCTGTTTGTAGTTTCAGAGAAAGAAAGGAAGAAGGCGATGATGTTTGCGAATCCTTCCTGTCAAAAAGACTTATCAGGATGTGACAAGCGTCTTTTCATTAAGACGCTCGTTACACAAATGGAACGGTATCAGGGGTGCACATTTAATTGAATCAATTAAAAGTGCCATATGGGCATCAGAGGATGCATGATACATCTTAAAAGGCTAAATATACCAAAACACTTTTCCGAGGTAAGTATTATTGTGCTGCTGAGAAGTCGCTGCCTACAAATTGAAAAAAAGGCACAATTATAATTTTGGTGATTTTTCAATGAATTATAATTATTCAAAACGAATTCCCTTCAATATCTTGAATCATTTTGCAATTGCAATATCATTACAAATATTAATAATAAGACAAGATATTTATTCCAAATCGTTCAGCCCTAAGTGGTTTTTAATCACAACATGAAACACACCTTTCCGAAATACTACAATTACTCTCAATGGAGCAGCACAGTGTGACTTAATACCTAACCTGTTGATATTCAGTGATGGTGGGCTACTTCCTAAACTGAGAATCACTTTGGAATATGAGCTTTTATCAGCAGCGTGAAGCAAACTGAACCAAGAACCCCGTAAATGTTGTTGAGTTCCCCCTCCTCACCTTGGGGATCTGGTGGATGTCGAAGAGCTGGGGGAGCTTGATGCTGAGCATGTCTTTGGGCAGTCTGATGGCCCCCCTCCCTCTCTGACAGACCTCCCTGAGCCTGGCGCGTCCCCCCTGACAGAGGACGACCCACACGGGGTAGTCGAACGCCGGGATCCGTGCCCCTGGTCCTGGACAGTCAGGCTCCCATTGCAGGCAGCGGCCCCAGCCCTGGATCCAGCTGCCCCCACCGCCAGCACCGATCCCGATCCCCCGCCACACCGGGAACACTGCAGGGACACACACAAAAAACACACACACAATGAAACAGAAAAAAACTTCAGGATCCATTTTAAGATTCTTATTGTCACTTTTAAACCTTTACATTTTCAGGCTTGTGCCTACTTTAGAGATGTACTGCAGTGTGTCCCCATGAGGCCTACAGATCAGGGTTTGATGGTCGTTCGTTGCTCCAGAGCAGTCTGTTAGACTTTCTTGTTGTCTGACATTATCATTTTTTTTATGATAATTAATTAAAAGGTGGAGTCTGTGTTTTCAATCTAGTTCATTTCTTTTTTTATTTAGAAGATTTTCCCTCATGGTTTGCTGGCTGTTCATTCTATGTATGCTGAAAAATATACATGCCGAGTCATATCTCTGTAAATAGGAATAGGCTTTACGAAATGTCTTACGTTCCAAAGTATCTGTATGAGGATTTCAAAAGCAGCAGAATTTTTTTTTGTTTTTAGGCTTTTTCAAATTTGGATTGAAGCAGAATTCATCCGTATCTCAAAAACCTTTCAATTGACAACATATTTATATATTTTTTCAATAAAATGTTACTTAAATGAAGACTGAATAATCGTATAGCATTTATTTATCAATGGCTTTGAGAGAAAAGACGAACAGAGATAAAACAATACTGATCAACGGCCTTCAGACTTTTCCATCATTGTTAAAAAAAAAAAAATCAGTCACTGACAGAAAACCTTGGAACATTTTGTTTTTGGTTCATTTTTGCAACGATAGTCACAGGGCAAATGTTATATAAGCATTGATAAGTTAATATGACAGGAGTGAGAGTGGTGTGCGTTGACTGGAGAGACACTGAGGACAATCTCTTATTGTGTCTGAGCGTCAGACATACAGAGACATCAGTTTGAAGAATGCCTGACATTGTCACACTGTAACGGCCTTTGACTGAAGGCAAGCCTAACGACACGTTCGTAAAGAGAGGATATTATATAGTGCATTCCATTCCAGTCTTTTTTAAAGATGTAAATCAATAAGGTGCGAAGAGGATGTACTTATAAGAATGTGTTATCATGAAGCGAAACGCAGCCTTATGTAATTCAGAAATAGTTTGGCCACCAGATCGCAATTTTAAAAAGGTAGGGTAGGTAAGAATGGAGAAACCAGCTCGAGTGCGCTAGAATTTGAAAGTACGCAGCCGAAAAGAATCTACCTCTTCCTTCAGACTTCCTTACAGAGCCCCTCCTCCAACACACAAGAACGTGCACACGACCAATGAGGGCACGAGATAAGTTTGTGCACAGATGGAAGGCTGACAGGCAGGTAGGCCATCCAGTTATTTTAGCCGGGCCGGCTCAGATGATTGGTCGTGCTTCTTACAGCGCCACAGCTTCCAGAGATGACATTTTTTTATGTATTTATTGTCAAAGCATTTAATGTATTCATTGCTATCGGGATGTTAAGAGCATTCCATGGAATACAACAAAAAGTGTTTGACGTGAATTACCTACCCCACCTTTAAATAACGAAACGAGACATGCTAGCATTTTGTTATTAGTTTGAGAAGAACAGTGTTTTTGTATGTACGTAAAGGGCTATATTGATTTGATATGTTACTTTACCAGAAGTTATGCAAAGAAAACACACAATATATTTTCTTCAATATAAAAAAAGGCATATATAGCCTACTGGACATCACTTTAAGAGTAATGCTGGTCTTGAGAAAACATAAATAGTAATTTTACATTCTTAAAATGAACCAAATTATTTCTTAAACTGAAACACTGCGCTGCTTTCAGACTTTAATCCGTGTTGTTATTGACCTGCCTGTGTCTCAGAGTTTTGTTATTTTCTGCGGGACCTGATAGGCTCCTGTCATCACAGCTAACACTTTGAGGGGCTCCTCTCCTGCAGAGGGGGGGCAACACCAAGCGGCCTCTGCTCACTCCAGCCCAGCTGCAGGCCCCGGCCTGTTCACTGTGACAAAGTGAGCTTTGTGCAAGCTGAAGCGTTGGGAGTACAGGGGCCAAAGGATGACGGTTACACACGGCACTGGATGGAAATGAGGCTGCTCACACTCTCACACACACAGAGTCCTGCCATGGAGACAAAATATTCTGAACACTGACATGCGTGCACGCTGGTACAGATCCTGCATTCTTCACGGCTGGATATCATCTGAGCAGATTACAAAATAATCTGAACACTGACATGCGTGCACGCTGGTACAGATCCTGCATTCATCACGGCTGGAACACACACACACACACACACACACACACACACACACACACACACACACACACACACACACACACACACACACACACACACACACACACACACACACACACCTTGTTTCAATGACAATAGCTATGAAAAGCCACTGGGTTCACTGCAGCGTGAGAAAAAAACTCATTTGAATTCAGATCAGGTGGCACCAATGATTTGAATAGCCGCTTCAAGATCTGGAATATTTTTGCAAACTTGGATTTGAATGGTAACATTAATGCATGCATGCAAAATCTATCTAGATTGGAGGATAACTGGCCATGAGAGATAAAAGAATGCAGCTTTTAGAAGCAAAACAGTCATTGTGATTCAGGACAGTGACACATTGTTTGTGGGCATGAGGCAAAGAACTCTTGAGCATTGACATAAAGAGACACTTGTGCACGTAGCCTTTCATACCTTGGTGACTCAGGAAGAACGTGACCTGACATGCTGTCCAACAAGCATACAAAGCAACAACAGCATTTAGTGAGAGCTTCAAGCTTCAGACTACAAGAGGAACTTCAGCACGACATGTGGCTCATTCAATAAAGCACAAGAAAGTAAAACCGAAAGTGAGTGGGTTTTTTTGTATAGCTCTGAAATGAGAAGTCTAGAAAGTGAGCAGATAAATGAGCAGATAAATACTCTTATGAAAACTGAACTTGCGTTACGGCTTGACTCACCAAAATCACACACTATGTGGTGAAATAAACACATTCGACTTCAGCTCTTTAGGAATTACGAAACCAGAGATATTTCAATGTTGAGGTGAGGCATCATTCAAGCATGCAGAGACCGAACACCCTCCTCTTCACCACCTCCTGCTGCTTTCTGAGGTCACGCTGCTCATTTGATTTAACAACCGAGTCAGCCACCAAGTTCAACTTCACACGATATAAAACACATTGCTGAGTTAGATAAGACCTCATCATGCAGACCTTTAAGACAGGGTTGAACATCTGAAGTTGAAAAGGTGTTTTCCCTATTTAGTCCTCTGTAACTTGGACAGGGATTTTTGTTAAAGTGGTTGATGAAGTCTTGCAAGCATCCTCCAGTAAAACGAGAACATCAGCCTTAAGAAGTGAACTGTGGTTTCATGGACATATTGAGATGTGGCTCCTTCTGTCCAGTACATCTAAGAAAGTCATGTCAAAGTGAAACTAAGGGTGTTTAGAACTTGTAGAAGTTCTGTTTAGATATTAGACATTTTTGGCTCTTGAAATGTATTCTGACCTCTCCTCTATCCCTGAGGTAAACATCCAAAACTTATATTGTCCATCTGCTTAACATGCTCTGCCTCACACTTATTTTATTTCACAAATACTTTGTTTTGGCTGAGCACAATGCAGAGAAAAGTACTAAAATAGTGATATTTCTGTCATGTTGGCTCCAAAGTATTGGATTCAAACAATGAATAAGAGGTGTAGGTAGGTATCTAAATCCACATCATAACTGTGCAGGAACTTCTTCTCTAACTGAGCAAAAATGCAATGAAAGCATTTTCAAAACTATTTCTTTAAATCTGAAGGTCAGCACTTGAGTCATTTTATTTCCAACCTAAGTTGCTGAAGTAGAATGAAACACATCGAATTAAACGACTTCTTCCCTGACTCACAATGCACTTATAACATTGTCGATGAACAGTTAAAAAAACAAAACTACTGATGCAGGATAATCAGATGATCCATGTTTCATTCCATAAATACTTATTCCTTTACAAAAACATGGCGCCTATGGTACCCACAATGCAACCTGACAGCTGACAGTTTAGTTGGAGATTCTGGTGTTATGCTAGTTGTGGCTAACAGAGGAGCAGCGAGCTTCAAAAGTCTGGGAAACACAACTCCATGCCGGGAGATTCTTTATATATTCAATCTGAGTCAATTTATCAGACTTTACAATTGCAGTAGTGCTCTCCATTTATTACTTTTTACATTTTCAGTGTGTGCAAAGTGCCACTAATTTGTTTACTCGGCAAACACAAGGAATACAAGTCTTTTGTGACATGCCAGGTGTTATCTCTGACTGCTCATAAGCAAACAGTGAGCAGTGAAACCTCTGCCTTCACCTCCAGGCTGCCATTGGTACATGCACACCCTGTGGCAACACTGACATGACCCCAACAACAGCTCCTTCCTTTTTTTGTTCTTCTATCTAGACAACAACATTTATTTCCCACTCACTCGTGATGTCGTCACATGACCTTTCTCAATGGACTTCTTTATTGGCCAGAGGCTGACAATACGAAGGCTATTGCAAGAGAGCATGTTGCCCACACAGACAGACACACACGAGCCTTGTAGGCCCACAACATGTTCTCGTTCTGCGCCATAGAGTAGTCCACTGTCCCGCTAAAACACGCTCAGAACAAAAAACATCTGCACGTACTGTTAATAAATGACTTTCCACGATCATTAATGCATTTATGTCAATGAAAGACTAATTGTGTGACATGTTGTGATTATTTATAAATGGTTAATTTACAACGTTCTAAACTGGGATCAAACTGATTATTTTTCCCAGAATTCTTTTCGGCAACCACCCACAGGATGCCTGATCGTGCTCCACACAGGAGAAAGAACAGAAAGTCAGATTTGTATTGATTTGATTGTTTGTTTGTTTAAGCAGATTTGGACACACATTGAGGCATGTGCATGTATGTATGAATGTATGTTTGTATACACACTTGTCATGTTGAGTTGATCAAACAAGTGTATGGCATTTTTCCTTAAAATGAAATAAGTCAAACAGTTGAGTAATTAATATAACTTTCTGTATATCGATTGATCATTTTTGCTGAGGAGGATCTGCTGCTTAACCCTGTTCTACATCGGTGAAAAGTGAACATCTTTAGGTTTTAGACAAACAAATTGAGCTATTTGAAGAGTTAATCTTTGGTATTCACAACTTTCTGATAATTATTCGAATAAAATCATCACTAAGAAAAACAATCCAGCTTTAATTTCTCCTCCATTAGCACAAAGCACTTCTTCCCTGACACAGTGTTACTTTGAGGTTACTTTGACAACTTGTGGGGTAATCCAACACACAGGAACTTATGCTAAGCCTCAGACTGTTGTTTATAACTTCCCTCTTCTGGCTTTTAGCCTGAAGTCATGCTGAAATATTTTTTCAAGAAGGTGTTTTACTTGGAAAAAGTCTGTATTACACATTAAAGGAATGTACTACGCAACGTTATGTAACATTATGTTCTCACATCACATGGATAACTGCTGGAACAGAGTTAACTGTCACTCTCATTGCAACATCAAAACCGTTAACTTTTGAGAAAGCATCTTATGTTTTCATTGTTAAAAAATCTTGGAATTGTTAAAGAAAAAAACATTTCTCAATACTAGCTAAGAGTCAAAGTCATCAAGCAGCAATTCAGGATCGCATGTGACTGTGTCCCACAAAAAGGAACACAATGTTAGAAAGAAACCGGTTTCAAGTCAATGCTAATTAAATATGAGGTCATTCATTTAGGGATGAGAGATAAGACCTGGGAGTGTGGGAGTGTGTGTGTGTGTGTGTGTGTGTGTGTGTGTGTGTGTGTGTGTGTGTGTGTGTGTGTGTGTGTTGACATGAGCACATGTTGTAATCTCTACCCTGTCTCATTGCTCTACTGTAGTACCTGAACACGTTTTGTACATCATGTGCAACAATAATGTCCAGTTCCAACTGTAAAAAGGTGGTTAGCTGCAGTGAAAGAAAAACAGCAACATTAAATAGATAATACTGCAACTAATGATTATTTTCATTGCTGTGAACTTCCTCAAATAAACAAAATAAGAGATATAACCGGTCAGAAAAGTGCAAACAATATCAATCTCAATTTCCTAGAATCTTCAAATGTCCAGCCAACAGTCCAAAAATAATAATTGTAACTTTACTAAGTGCTTAAAATCATAGAAAAGTTGGAAATCCTCACATTTGAGAAGCTAAAAGGAGGTCGTTGTTTTAAATTAGAGCATGAAAAATGGCTGCTTATTCATTTATTGATCTTCAAAAAAGTAGATCATATTGGTCAATGATCGAAAAATAAAGTAGGCTGCAACTCTAGAAGGTGGCACACCAGTGAATATATTAAGAAAAACTACAAAACACACATTCTCTTACTCGTGGCTTGTGTGAGATGTAAATAGGGAAAGAGGAGTTCAAGTCCATGTGGAATTTGCTTTTCCAAAACACCTCCAATTAATTGAAAGAAAAAAAACAGAAAATGTCTAAGTTGTTCCTGGATACATCTCCAGAGCACACCTTCAGGAAACACTGTATTCACATGAAGCCAATTCTCGGTGTCTCAACCTTCAACCCCGTGTATGTTTTCTTTTTGAATTTCCTCTCCCTTTTTACTCATTAAACATTCATTTCCAGGAATTCCTTGAACACACAGGTTTGATGTTGCAACAGCGAGAAGTCAAACAGCACTACTGGAGGCAGCAAAACTTCGCCTCAACAAAAGGCAAGTGAAAAGCGAGGAAACACATTTCTTAGCGTTTTTGTCACACAAATACTTTGTTCGACTTACCGCGACCCTCGGGCATGCGGAGGTTAAAGTATGCCTCCACCCGTGTCTGTGTTAAAATAGTTAAAACGCTAAAACTACTGGCGTGTTTGAGAGCCTCTGCAGGGCGTCTTCTTTCCTCTGTGTCTTTCGGTTTTATAACACTCCGGTCTTCCCAACGACTTTTTTACTCCTCTTGTTCCCGCGAGCCAGTAGGAAGCGCTGCTCGGTGCTCACGTGCATCACTGGAGTAACAACACGAGCCATGTGTCCAACGCCTTGTGACAACACTAGAAAGCGATAAATGTGGAAATATGTCATCATGTTAATTTGAAAAAAAACAAGCAAACACGAACTATAATATCGGAAACCAGCTGTCTTTGTTTATTGGTAGGGTATTTTATTGTTTTACTAGCTTTCCTAGAGATGTATAGGCTACTTAGCATCTGTGCTAAGAAAATACTTAGCCAGGTGGGGTGAAAGAAATGGGCTACTATAATTGTTTAGCTTTTGTAAAATCAACATTGTAGTTATACCACAGGGTACGGAAATACTCTTTTAGAAGTTAAAGGATTTTACATATCAGAATTTTACGTCAGTGAAAGTAGACTATACCTTTAGTTACTTTGCCTATTAAAATTAGTAAAAACTAAATTCACACATCACTAATTCTCATCTAGTGCTTCATTCTGCATGAGAACTTTCTTGTACCTAAGGTCACAAATATTTTTTTTTAGTAAAAGTACAAAAGTATTTGCAACGAAAATATAATGCATATGTGACCACCCTAGGTAATGTAACATGACAGCGATGAAAGCCAGCATGTCAATCAACCACCATTTTTCAAGGTTTCACAAGTCCAGTTGCCTTTGACTTATTTCTACATGCTTCCGATGAGGCCTGTGGGGATCCTCCTTTCTTTGAAAAAGGAAGGACATCCTGTTTTACTCTGCACAGGAAAAACATTGAGTTTTTGTCAAAACATCTTTTTTATCCCATCAAATTTTTTGCAAAAGTATGTTATGACTTTTTGAGATTTTAGGACCAAAAACTTTAGCTTCCTAACAAAAGCACAACACCGTATGAGCTTGATGTTGGAGGAACCCATTGATTGATTAGCTATAAATAATTAATTGCAGAGATAAGCGCCGCACCTCACCATGCAGTTACCTACGATGAATCAATGTTCCTGAAGTTAATGTGAACATAGGCAGTGGCAATATATTTAAGTTATTCAAGAGTAGTAATATCAAATAATACAAATTCCCCATTAAAAATAAAAAGCCCTGTATTCAAAATGTACACAAGCAAGAGTGTGGTAGCATGAGCAAAAGTAGCCCGTCAATTTAGGGTGATGCCTCGTATTTTATAATCCAATCAAATTAACCTATTGGAGTACAAAAAAACCCCAATAGTTTTATCTCTAAATCAGGATTAGATGGAAACACTCAAGCACTGTAAGTAGGCCTACCATAAATGTTAATGAATTAATAACAAAAGATAATAATTTAAGATGAAGATGGAGCCAAAATAAAAAACTTGAAAAATGAATGAGAACATATATCCACAATTCAAATATTATTACTTAATAGTTTTGGGCCCAAAATAATAGACATAATCTAATCTGGACCCAGGCTGCTCAAACACTGAAAGCATGTGCATATCAATTCTTTGAAAGTAAGAAAACATGGGAGGGATATCCCCACAGTTTTTGGAAGTACTATTCAGCGCGTCAAGTTCCTAACAAACGGAAGTTCCAAATAACAGGGATTGTCTTACAAGTAAAGACCTCCAGAGTCTCTTAAAGAGAGTGAGTTTACAAAAACAAGAGTCTCCAGTAAGACAAAACACTGAGTCGCTGTTTGTGTAATGATAGAAGCTGCAGAACCATAGCAGAACTATTGCAGATCAAAGCAGGAACCCGGTCTGACCTTTCAGCTTTAGGTGTCCGATGAGATCATTGTAGGTTCAGATGAACAGATAACAAACGTTGATAATCAAGTGAAGAAATACTTTTCTGGGAATAGAAAAAGTTATAAATCCATTGTCATTCCAGAGTCGGGCCCTGTCCCTATTGCACTGAACAGCCCCCCTCTTTCCTCTGACATTCCTGCAGTAACCGAATAAAACAAACACTACTGCAGCCCCCAATGTTGAAATCCCACCCTCAGGGCAGAGACTTCTTTCCATTGGATGTGGCAAAAGAACAAAAAGCAGCTTATTTTTCACTGTCAGGAGGGAATGCTGAGGGCAAGAGCTCCAAGATCAATAACATAGGTGCAAACATGTATGGCATTAGGTTCTGAATGGAGAGGAGAGAGAGTGTATGCAAGGACATGGTTAATAAGGAGCACATGTGAAGTCCAAACATTCCCAAAAACCAAGAGGTTACTTACACATAAACTCTAGACAGGCGAGGCATTTGCCGACTGCGAGCACAGACCCCTGCATGGACATTTCCCAAACAGATCACAGGAGCTTTTAACTCAAGTAATAAATCTAACTAATGGTCGTTTTTTATGTTTACACTTCTCATTTTTGTCCCTGCAGCCCAATCCGTTTACTCTGAGGTTCCTGCAGCCCCACAGCCTCATGGGCTCACAGAAAGAGGATTGCCTTGGGTCAGTGAGGTTTCCCAACCCCCCCCAACAAAAAAATGAGGCCAGTCCCAGTGCCAGCCGTCTTCTGTCGGGAGTGGACTGACCATGCTGCAAGGGGATTGGTTATTTACTCAGTGTGCTCGGTCAGTGGTGGGCATGGGGCCCGGACTAGAGAGGGACACAAGAGAAAAACTCAAAGAATAGCACATGGAGACCTAGTTTGAGAAACGTCCTTAGAGAGGATTCACGAGGAATTGGGAAGTTTCAGGTCTCATTTTGAAACCTCTGTGCAATGTGTTGGTAACTGAGAGGACTTCCTGGAAGGTATTTCAAGTCCCACTGGTCTCTGAAACACCAATACAGGCCCATGTGTTGCTCTCCTGACATTTTGATCCCTCTTTGAAGCTACTGAAGTAATCACACACATATTTTCAGAGGCTAAGTATTGTTCATGAAAAGTAAAGTCCACTTTATGTGCAAAAAGTGGTGGAATGCAAATGTGTTGGACAGCAATTAATTTGATGGCACAGAGGAATTGTAAAAAGAGGGAAGAAGTCATCATCTTATACGAGTTTCTTTTTATTGTTCAATGCATGGCCACACACATATACTGGTTTTCTTTTGCACTGTGCATGATGGGACAGTCACTATGGAAATGGTGATGTAGATGGGATACATTTTAGGATTTTATAGGGGTCCAAACACTACCCTCAGTCCTCTGGGAAAGTCAGCGGGCCCCTCTCCTCCGGGCCTCCTCGATGAAAAGCTACAGCATGAGGTTAATCAGCTCATGCCTCCCTCTAAAATGACACCTTGATAAATATATTCTGGATTATAGGTTAATTTCATGACTGAAGGATTTGTTCAGTGGATCAACACACGACAACATCCCCTTCCCTTTCCCTTAAACATTCTTGCGTATCTCATTCAGATGTAGCTTACAAAAAGCTAAATAAAGAACATCATTTGGGTACAAAAATAAAATCCAAATTAAAACTTCTAACAGGGCAAAGCCTGTCGTGTTTTTAGTCTTTCCTCTTTTCATACAGAGATAGCACAATACATAAGTCACTGGTCACAAAGAACACTGCAAATAAAGGAAAACAAAAACAAATTTAAATTTAAAAAAGCCAGATAGGAAAAACCGATCTCAGAGAAGTAAACATTTGTCTTCCTCAAGCTTTCCTAGCGGCCTATGAGACGCTTGGTTTGTTTTGTTGGGCTGGAGCCTCAGGTGTCAGGTGGACAGAGTGTTTTCTCTGCCTTTAAGTTGTCTTCATACACCCTCGGCTTCCCAAATCAACGCAGCCCTACCAGACTCGCACATTCTTTACCCTGTTTTCTCAAATAAAGACTGGAGGGAAAGGGAAGGAGGAAACAAAAAACCCATACCACTGCTCTAAACATCTATATGGATTCATCTGAGCATGAATGTTTATGTGTGGTGCGGTTTCTCTCTCGACACGTATGTACTTGTTTGCTAACATATACAGTGTATTCCTGGTTAGGGTGTGAACCAGGGGCACTTAAAAGGTCGTGTAGCGTTCCTCCACCGTTGCCGCACCCCGCACCACTCTTTATGTTTAGGATTGGGAGGTGGGAGATCTGCTCTTTCTTATAGCGCCAGTTCGCCCGTATTCCTCTTTTTTTTATTCATTACTCCACTGTTTTAACTTTTCCACCCCTCTAAGCTTAAACTCTTTCCTTTGATTCAGCTTTCTTTTGAGTTGGTTTTTGCCTTTGGAGACGCAGATACACACAGAGCAAAAGAGTGGGAGAGAGAGAGGGAGCGAGTGTTGTGATCGATCAGCTGTTCGCAGCGCCGACAGCTGCCCCCGTTAAAACTCTCAGCCGATCTCCTTCCACTGCCGGTAAAACTCCACGATGTTCTTCAGCTCCATCCCCGCCGAGCCTGCGGCCTGGATCGCCGCCTGAGAAACAAACACACATTCAAATGTATACAAAACGTGAGCGATAAAACCGGTCTTCACAATGCAAATGTTTTTCTAACACCTTTTCTTTAAAGGTCCCATGTCACGCTTTTCTGGTTATTACCCGTCCCCTTGTGTGTTATGTAGCTTTTTCTGCATGTAAACGGTGTGCAGAGTCACAAAAAAAGTCATAAAATGTGTGCACACGTTAGTCAGGTTTTCTCCAGATAAATCTGTGGGGATTCACACTGTTGCAACACTTCATCACATTTGGTTTGGGATGAAAGCAGATCAGCGGATAGCAGCGATCAGCTGCTCAAACATTCTTACTGTCGAGTTCTGCCCTCTGCTGGACACACACACACACACACACACACACACACACACACCACCCACACCACACACACAACACCAGACACACACACACACACACACACACACACACACACACACACACACACACACACACACACACACACACACACACACACACACACACACACACACACACACACACAGCAAGGCTCGCTGCTGCGAGGAGCGGGACAGTGTGAGCTGGCTCACTGGTGTGGGGTCGGCGAGACAGCGAGACACCGCGGAACTCAGCCTGAGCACACACACACAAACTCCCAGCCAGGCTGCGGGTGTGTGTGTTTCGGGCTGGGTTTCGCTGTCTCGCAGATGGCCACTGGGCTCACAGGGGACAGAGAGTGAATACACATACTTTACAGAGATGCTGTATGAGAAACCAATGTGAGTTTGAAACATTGCACAATATACATTTATTTTAGTATATCTCAACAATGGAATTATGGTCAGTAGAAATGGCCATGACATGGGACCTTTAAGTGAAAGTAAATTGAGTACAAAGTGTGTAAAATCAAATGGCTACAAGCTTAAAACCAAAGGTGTGTTTGTGAGGATCTGTTTAAAAATGTAGGGTGAAGTCCTTCTTGCTTTCTAAAACAACATAAAACGAGATTAAAAAAAGACCAGAGCAGTGATAAATATAAAAAAGGCCCCACTGTAGCAAAAATATAGCAAAAAGAAAATCCAACAGCTTTATGTTGTCGTGAAAAATGTCAACTTCCTGAGTGTTTGTGTCTGTAACGCAACACAATAAGATGAGTGACTGACCTTCATCGCTGCGGACCGAGTGCAAAGCTCTTCCACCTGATGGTCAGTGAGAATGGTCACCATGCCGGCTGTGTCTTCATCTCCGTTGCTCTGGGAGACTGTGAGCTGACGACAACTGTCCACCATCTTGTATAATTGCCTAGACAAAAAAAAAAAAATCAGAATAGAGGTCACACTCATCCAATCATGAGTATGTTAAGAATCAAATATAGGTATATGTAGAAGAGCAGCAGGGTTTACCAGGCTTCGATGTCCTGACGTTTCAGTTTATCTCTTTCAAAACTTTTTCCAGCTTCCTTCTGGCAGCGAATGTACCTACAGAAGGATGACATACAGGTTATTGAAGAAATCGTCCAAAATAAGGGAGCTTTATTGGGTAAAAGTGAGGTTTTAATATAGGATATCCATCAACATCCAATTCTAAAAAACCCAGCAAGGGTCTCCATCAGTTACCTTACATGTAATATAACACCCACCTGTTTCCTTTGCGAAATTCAGACTCCAAGAAGCGGATGCCGTCCCTCGCACCGGCATTTTCCTTCTTCAGCCTGTCGAGCCCATCAATCACTGCAACACAGAAATAGTCCAGATTAAATATTTGAACAAATAGTCATGACAGTAAAACATTTATTTTGGTTTGGCTGTTTAAACTGGCACATTTCTTGTTTGTATTATCCAATATAATAATACAACACTAATAATACAAACAAGCTTAAAACCACAGCTGTCACCCCACCAGTGTTTCGGGCTGGAACTCTTTATTAATCAATAACTCTTTTAGTATATCAAATGTCAGAATAGCCTATTATGGTTGATCAAGACCCCAAGAAAATGACGAAAATGACAAATCCAATCAACAGGATGAAATCACCAATTATTTGTTTGATAATTGGATTAAATGACCTGACATTTTCTATTCAAAACCTGCAGATAGCCTGGTAAAACATATGGAATAACATTATCTGAGAGAACTGAATGGAAGATAATAATATTATATAATACATTCAGCAGGATTTTCTTCCTCTGCTGTAAAGTCAGAGATCATGAAATGCATCAAATCCCTGAATCCCCACCCTCTACCTTGTTTATTATGCTACACACAGGGGCCTGAACACAACACACACACACACCGTGCTGCTGGGGGCACTGACCTGTCCGGGGGATGATGATGATGAAGCAGCCGCTGCCGGCCAGCTGCCGGATGAGGTTCAGATGCTGGCAGAGAGCAGCTGTGTCTGGCACCAGGTAGGGAGACATGGAGGACTGAGCCTTGGGCTGCTGGAGGCTGCCCTCTAGCTGCGACACCTCCAACTGCAGGGAACAGACGGGAAGAAACAATACAACTGATTAGGAGTGATTCATGTAGGATGTTTGTGTGGGTTTATTCACTATTACATCAGGGTTTCTATATGGTATGCTCAACCTCAATCAGATGTCTCTGTTTAGAAGGGTTTAGCCTTTAACTGAATCCTGTTCATGTCACCTTAACCATTGTCTTTAAGAGAATATTGTTCCTCACAAATGATATCTTTAACTCAATATAAAGGTTATTATAGAAGCTCTTTCTTAACAAACATTTTCTCTCAAAAGCCTGGGAACTCTGCTCTTTTGTCACTGATGACTGTATGAGCACAGCATTGGGTCTATGCTGTATCAATGCTCAGATTTCAAAGGGAAACACAGACAGGGTGAGCAGTCAGTGGAAAGAGTGATAATATTAAAAACCTGTAGTCGAAGCTGGGCCATATCCCTCATCAAGCGATTTCGACGAGCCTCCTCTTCCGCCTGGACAAATAAAGATAAAGACAGAAGGGCTGGCGTTTAAAAGGGACATTTGCTTTGCTTAAAAACCATTTTGATTTCAGGTCATTAATCAAACATGTATTGAGTCCAACAGTTACACAAAACCATTTTCACCGTATGAGCTGCACACAATAATGAGAGTTGACTGAATGCAGCCCCCTGTGGTTCTTCGTCCCCGTTGCTCTGTTAGAATGTCACTCACCATTCGGATCTGGGCCTTTGCCTGCTGCACCAGATTATCCTGCTCCGATTGGCTGATGCTGGTGAAGATGCCCGCCTCCGGGTTGAAGTGCAGCACGTTGCCCTGGAGATTCGTCAGGAAGTGGCCAAAACTGCGAATGCAACACACTCGCACCACACACTGGAGGAAAGAGGGAGGAGAGAATACTTCAAAGCCTCTGTATTATTTTTGATCAATACATATTGGGCAGGATAAATGAACTTCAATTTGTTTTACTCAAAGTACAACCATTTTGTTTATCGTGTGTGTGTTTTAACACGACACTGTTTCAGTGTCGGGGTAAGATTTACAGACATATATCTGGGTTTCCTTAACATATAATACACATACCAAAAGAGATAATTTCAATCAATCCGTTATAAATGTTTTTAAATAGTGGCCATTGTTGTCACTTCTACCATGCTTAGGTTAGGGTTCTGTGTATAGATTATCCTTCCATTTCAGTGATTATAGAAGTAATGTACAATTATGTAGGTCTGTCTTTGATAAGGACCTTTTAAATATATTTGCAAACTAGGCTCAGACCAAAAACACAAAAGGCAACATATGGTATATAATAATTCTACCATGATGGTATTTGGCATGGTAGAGATGATGCTTTTTTTGTGTTTTCAACCATCACTGAACATCTGTAAAATGAATTGCGTGTGTGTCTGTGTGTTAGCGTGTGTGTACCTCCTGTAGGGAGCTGAGGGAGGGGTTGCGGTGAGTGAAGTCGAGGCGGCGGTGAGCTGCGTTCAGAGCGGGCAAGTGTCGTAGGGCCAAGTCCTCGGGCAGCAGCAGACTCTGGATCAGACCGGGCTGCTCACACTCATTTAACAGCTCCGTCACTTCGGCACTCAGACCCAGCTCTGCGGCACACACACACACACACACACACACACACACACACACACACACACACACACACACACACACACACACACACACACACACACACACACACACACACACACACACACACACACAAACAAATAGGCTTTCTCACTTTCTCTCAAAAAGACACTTACACATGTTCATACTTGTAGACATGTGCACACTACAGAGTCACGTGAACAGAGACATAAACAGGCACACGCTTTAGTACATGCGTACACACTTGTGCATCCTCGTGCACATACACGCGCGCACTCCCGTGAGTGTTAAGTGAACTGTGAAGCTCAGACCGCCTTGTGTGGAAGCCTCGCTGGAGTGGAATCATTAAAAACGGTCCGTGGCTCTTTAAGTGGCGTCTCTGCTTCTCTCCCGGGCGCGATTCTTCATGCATCGCTTGCCAATCTCTCTTTCTCTCCCCCTCCTCTCTCTCTCTCTCTCTTCTAACTAATCAGTGCGGTGCAGGGGCTGCTGGCACCGCGCAGGCGGAGGACAGAGGAAAACAGAGGGGAGAAAAACGCTGCGCTTCGGTTCAGCACCAAGGACAGCAGCACAGCGAACATTCAGCACCACGGACAGCTCCCCAGACAGGGTAGACGCGGTAGACGCGTCCTGCAGCGGCAGAGGCGCGGCACAGCACTGTCTTAAAAAACTAAGACTTAAAGGAAGATTTAGGATATTAGAAGTGTGTGTTTTGTGAACAAATGTGCTGAACATTAGTGTTTTTTATAACACTTTTCCCCAGATATATCCAAGATCCACTTTTCAGAAACGATAAGCTCTGTTAAGGGGTTCTTAAGATGTCTCTCTTATGATAAAAAGTAGGCCCCTTTTCACTGAAACTCTACATATGCTCTCCTCTGTGGACTGGAGCCCACCATGATTTATACTGATGGTGTTGCGGCGGTGGGCGGGACATGCAGCAGTGACTGCATATGATTGGTTCCTCAGGGTAGCTGTCACCCAAGGAGCCAATCAGAGCCAAGCGGTGCGGCCTCAGGCGGAGTTTGAGGAGACGCGCGGTTAGTTT